CTAAAGGGCACAGTCAACACCAGGTGCATAAAAAGGGGTTGCAGGCACGTTCCCTGCTTTAGAAGAATATATTTTGCTGCAACAACCCGGCATTGCATCAGACTTTGGAAGTATACACAGCTAAGGGAGGGACGGGTGGAAAATGTGCTACCAAATTTCTAGCACAGCCTTAGACTAGAGTGTGACCATCGCTCGATCCTATACATCAACGGATTCAAGCTTTAGACGAAACCACCTGACTTTGAATTTCTGATTGGCTTGCCCTGCTGGAGCATTACAATCCCACTTTATCCCTTGCTTTAGAAGGGATAACAAGGTCTGGCACGCTTCATTCTCAAGTATATTCTCAGTTTCTTTCCTTTACAACAAATTTACTCCGAACATCAATTATCCGGTCTAGTAAGAAGGGTTCCCTCGGCACCACCAAAAGTCCACGCATTCACTTGGTTATCTCTAAAAAGGCCCTCACTATCGTTCAAATCCATGGAGGTGAATCCACCTAACTAACTGGTGCACCATATGCAAGGATGACAAGGAGACCATCCATCGACTTTTCACTCACTCTAGAGTAGCGAGTGAAATCTGGCAATTTAATACAACAATCTTTTTGAGTGGGGACAGGTAAATCTCTAAACAGTCCAATGTCTTTTGTCGTCGTATTTCTCTCCTCAATACCCCTCTTCAGGCTTATTACTTTGGCGGCCTTCCATGCTGGCGTCCGTTCAGGCCATCTGGTTAAAGAGCAATAGGCATGAGTTCAAAAGTCAAAAATCTCATATCAATGCAATCAAGGATCATATTTGAACTACAGTAATTTTATGGGCTCACAATCACAAGAGCTTGGTGCATATACCTCAGCAGATTTCGCACAACAATAGAAGTATCTTCTGTGGTCCTGACTCCTGACAGATGACAACCACGAGATCCACCCAATGGATCCCACTTGCCCCCAGTGCTATCAAACTCAATTTGCATAGATGCTTGCTCAGCAACCTAGGACCAGCATGTGTGGGAAGCATTTTCTGAAATAGCTCCATGAAAACCATATTATCTTACTCGGGCAAGATTAATACTGCTAATTCTACATTTGCAGAGGCTCGGGCTTTTATAGGTGGGCTAAAATGTTTTGACAGGAATTGGGGCACCTCATTATTGGTCAAAGGTGACCCTCGGAATGTGATGAACTGGACCAAGAAAATCCACCCTCTACCCTTGTAGACTAGAATCAATTTTCATAAAAAGTGTCGTTTAGACACTTTTGATGAGAGGCAAATACAGCCACTGACTCCCTTGCAGAAGACTGTGCCTCAACAATGAACTGTTTGACCACGAGACCTCAATCTTAATGAAGAACTTTGCCAAAATTTAGTACAAATATGAAGCACAATTTTTGTACTGACCAACACTTGCAATCTGCACATTCCAATTTACTCAATACAAAGAGTTATTTCTTCAAAAAAATAAAAAGTATAATGTGGGGCGTCCAGGTTGGTAATCTTTCTCCATTGACACTTGCGATTGTGCTGGAGGAGATAATAGACTTGGGGATAAAATTTTTTGACAAGAATTGGGCCACGGCACCTTATTATTGGTCAAAAGTGACTCTCTGAACGTGATAAGCTGGGCAAAAAAAATCTGCCCCCTACCATTGTAGACTACAAACAATTTTCGATCAAAATCTTCAAAAGATATACCCATCACTAAAAAGTGTCGTTTAGACACTCTTGATGAGAGGAAATACAGCCACTGACTCCCTTGCAAAAGACAGTGCCTCAGGAATAAACTTTTTGATCATGAGACCTCAATCTTAACAAGGTACTTTGTCACAATTTCGAACAAACCATAAAATATACGAACCACAATTTTCTGTACTGACCAACACTTGCAATTTGTACATTCCAATTTACTCAATAGAAAGAGTTATTTCTTCAAAAAAAAAAAAGTAATATGGTGTGCCCAAGTTGGTAATCGTACACCATTGACACTTGCCAATGTGCTGGAGGGGAGAATAGACTTGTGCAATGGGTTGACAATGAGGTTCCAGCATGTCCCAAATATGGAAATGATCAGGTAGAGTATTTATTTCATACTGGTAGTGGGAGGGCGAAGCTTTTTGTGGGACAGGTCCACTGCCCCCCCAAGATGGCAGGAATGGTAGGACACTCTTCCCTCCACCCTTCATACCTTGATTCATGAACCTCCCTTACACTTCTCTCTATTTTCCTCCACTGAGCATGACTAACTAATTGCCCTCCTTATACAACTTGCAAAGTATAAAAGAAGAGAAAAGAAAAGAAAAACACATGATTCAAGTGAATCACCTCTACCTATGAGATATGAGCACATGTAGATAAGTAGCAGCAGCAGGTTGATGAAGATTAACTGAGATGAGACATTTCGAGATAACTGCAGCAAGCTGCATGGGGAGCGGTCTACAGGCCCCTCACAGACATAGTCAAGCCATAACAATAGCCTAACTTTGGCAGATGAAATCAAGCTACAAAGGATCCTGCATCCAGTAGTTTGCTGCAGCAATAACTGTCACAGTGGTCAGCATTGGGTTCCACCCAATTTTTTGTCAAGAGCGGCATTAGATTCCTTGCACTTTGTCCCCTGCATCTCTAATGTTTTCGCTAAAATTTAATTTGCATTAGTTGAACCTAAAGAAATTCTTTGAGTGTACAGTGCACCGATACTTGCCCCAGTAATCAGATCTGCCGATCGCTCTATCTACATTATTCATTAATGATAATTCGTCATGAAATTTGTGTCCATCAAATTCCTTATTAAGGCCCCTGGTTCCTTTAAGGTGTCTCGGGAATAATCGTATGTCAGAAAGAAAAGACACTATCTGAAATAGGCCATCCTCAGTTCATTGCAGCATGCACGGAACTCCAAAATCTAAAATTTCAGAAGGTGTGTTTCTTTTTTTAGACCAGGCAATTAGATAGTTTAATTGCTTAAACTGATTACTATGTTCTTCCAATAATTGACAAATATTTCCTCTTTCTTTCCTTGTTTATTGCATCTCATGATTCCACTGAAAACAGCATAACTATATAAATTTAGAAATATAAAAAGATACCAACTGGTTATAGAATATATATTAGTAACATTTTAAAAATAATTTGTGAATATGGAACTATGTTAAGTGGTGAGTTTCTATTTGCGTGCATGTCATGAATAAAGAACTACATTAATTTACTTATTTAGAAGAAAGGCCTTGCCACATAACACCTTAAAGCTCAGACCAGAATCGAATTTCATTTTGCTAAAATGAAAGGCGGGACAAATAAAAGAAGGTTAATAAACAGGATTCTTTATTTTATATTTTCAATGGATGAAGATCTCATCTAGATGAATACAAAATGTGGACAACCAGAAAATATAATACAATTCTCACAACTGCAGCATGAAGAATAAGGAAAAAACAGAATTCCATTACAAAGATTGAATAAATTAAATTTCACTGGAAGGAGCTTGGGATGCCAAGGAACCATTATGTTTTAGCATTATACTAGATTGCTGGAGAACATCACAATGGCAGCCAATAAAAGATATTGAATCTGTGTACCATAGACAACGACAAACCATGCTAAGAAGCATCATCTTGAGCGAGCCAAAACTGAATAACAAGATAGCAAATGACAGGAGGCAATGGGAAGTTTATGCGACTTGCATATCAATGGTTACACCACAAAAGGCCTTTGTTTCATAGTAAGTCCAACAGCTAGGCTAGGGTAAAGGGCACGGCAAGCATGACATCTTGGTAAAAGGACTGGGAAAAAACACATACATGCATCACGATCTCAAGAATGCCCTCCTAAAAAAGAAATTTTTAGAAATCTTTATCCCAGAAATCGTTGCACACCATGTTCTCCAAAATAATTTACTACATCCTAGAACAAACACTAAAAAGTAAAATCCCTAAATGCAATTGGTAATAGTACATTCATAATTCAAAAAGATTTCCCTATCTTTTCTCCTTTAAAAACATTCATAATAGTACATTCATACTTCAAAAAAAAATACACATACACACACACACACACACACTCTCTCTCTCTCT